AGGGACACCTTGCAGTGGTTCAGAGCCTACAGGGAGAGGGTTAGGTTTCCTTCTCAAGGTGTGGGACAGCAGCAAAGGATTCTTAAGCTGGGGAGGAACATGGTGGGATTTCCAAAGACTGAGAAAGTAGATTGCAAAGGGTGGGGGCTAAGATTTGGGGGATGGGTTTTCCAGTGGAGTTGGGTGGGACTGGCAGAGATCAATGATGCAGACAGGAGGGGTTGTCTGTTGAGATTCCTGGTCCTCAATGCTGTCCGAAGGAAGCCTAGGTAAGGAGGGGCCTCCAGCAACTCAGGAGGGCCCAGGGGCTTCTACTGTAGCCTCTGGAGAGTAGAAAATCCGAGTGGCTCAGATCTAGGGGGAAGTAGGACCAGTGAGCTCTGTCCCATGAAAGTCCTGGCCACTTCGGGCCAATAATGGAAGCAGGTGTATCATTTCCAAGATGTCTGAAGATGAATGGTTTGTAGCTCTGGCTGCACATGGGGTCCCCGGGGTCCTCCTTCTGGGCCCCTCCGTACTAATCAAATTCTAACTTCTAGAAGGTGGGGCAGTGTGAGTTTCCCACGGCTGCTGTAACATATGACTGCAAACTGAGTGGCTTTGTTGAAGTTCTGGGGGCCGGAGGAGGTCCAACAAGGGTCTCACTGGGCTGCAGTCAAAGGGTTGCAGGGCTGTCTTACTTCAGGAGGCTGCCGGGAAGAACTTGTCCCTTGGCCTCTTCCAGCTTCTGGAGGCTGCTCGTACTCTGTGGCCTACGGCCCTGAGTCACTCCAACCTGCTTCCGTTGTAACGTCTTCGGTTTGCTCTTCTGGCCTCCCTCTTATAAGAACCCTTGTGATGACATGGGGCCTACCTGGACGATCCAGAATAATCTCCCCATCTCAAAACCTTTAACTTAATCACATCTGCAAAGTCCTTTCACCACGTCAGCTCACAGGTCCACTGGTTTGGGGATAAGGACATGAACAGACTTGGGACATGGGCTGGGGGTGCATGGGTACCTTCCCACCTGCCACAGGGGATAAGTGTCTCAAGGCTTTGCCACATAGCGAGTGCACCCAAAGGGAGCTCCCCTGGCACAGCTGGCTCTTCTGGCCTTGTCTTGGGGCCAGGTGCCGCTGGGGACCACTGGAGGGGACACTCTGTTAGTGCCAGTCCCACTGTACTGTGTCTAATGACAAAAGGAGACGGCACAAAGGCAAAAGGACAGTTGTAGAAAGAACACAGGCCCAGGTATCAGAGACCTGGGTTCAAATCCCAGCTCTGCCTGAGACCAGCCACATGACTAGGACCAAGGGACTCAAATAGCTTGTGACCTTCTCGTCTGTTATGTGAGGGTCATGATCTTTAAGAACGTTGGGAAGATAATCAGCTGCTAAGGACCCAGCATGGGGTGGCGGGTGTTCAGTGGATGCTGGCCACCACGCCTCTGGGCTGTGCACAGCGTGCGTGCGGGGAAGACAGCTGACTCCCCAGGCAGGTGATGTCTCCTCTTCCTCCTCCCTCGCTGTCTCTCGGCTGCACCAGGGAGACAAAACCCTTGCAGCGGCTCTAGAATCTGGAGAATGTGGCCGGGCTGGAATTGTTAGTCAGTTTCCCCTTTCCTGGCCCTGGCTGATAAGTATATCCTGCTGGATAAAAATATATCTACCCTTACGGTAAGATTCCCAGGCTGGGAATTCTGTGAGCACCCGCCTCAGCCCGGGGGAGCGGGCATTGCCTTTTCTACAAACAATCTAGCGGTGGCTCAGCTTCCCAGGCGGCCGTGAGTGGGCCGCCCTGCCCGAGAGGGGGCGCTCGTTGCCACTGGGGAAGAGGCAGGCCCGGCCCAGCAGTGGCGACAGGGTGCAAAACACGGCTCCTTCCCCAACCTGTTTATAGGTAGCAGTGCTGACCGAGCTAAGAGGCAGAAGGGTAATAACCAGCACAGGGTCTTCCCGAGTGCGGCCCGCGGCCTAGTACTAGCTCATTTAGTTTGCCCCATGACCTTGTGGCCACATGTCTTGTCATTGTCCCCAGGAGACCTGATGCACGGGGAGCGGGGGGTGGGGGAGCACTCGGCCCAAAGAACGAGTGGGTGGTGGAGACTGGATTTAAACCCAGCAGTCTGGTGTTTAACAGGTAGACTGGCTCCTCTTGAATCTAATTTAGAAACGTAGTTCAGAAGGCCCTTTCAGTTCCCCGATGGTGCAGAAGGCATCTGCGGATCACCCCAAACACTGGCAGACCTGCAGGGGTGCCACCTTTGAGCGGCCTTCCCACACCTCCCTCCGTATCCGTATCCTGAATCCAGTTGGCTCAGGGGCGTCTGCAGCGCACGGTGCTTTGTGTAGGACACTGGACTCCCTAACTCCTCGGTCTGCCCAGAGAGGCGGCCTCCGTGTTGATCCGTTTTCTTAATTGTGCTCTCTATCCCAGCCCTCCTTGTTTTTATGGAGGTGAACTTAACATAACACAAACCACTGAAAAGTACACATAAGCCGGTGGTATTTTGTAGAGTCACAATGGTGTGCAAGCATTTCTACCTAGTTCCAGAACATTTTCATCAGCCCATGCCCGTTAGCACTCACCCTCCACCGTCCCCTGCCTCCAGGCCCTGGCAACCTCGGATCTACTTTATCTCTAGGGACGTGCCTTTTCTGGACATTTTGTATCAGTGAAATCCTATGTGGCCTTTAGTGTCTGGCTTCTTTCACTCGGCATCGTGTTTTTGAGGTTCGCCTGCAGTGGATGGACCATGTCAGTGCTCTGGTTCTTTTCCTGGCTGGACCTATTCCACTGTATGGATGGAGCACAGCTTGTGTATCCATCCGTCCGTCCGTCCGTCCGTCCGTCCATCCATCCGTCCATGGATGGTCATCTGGGATGTCTCCACCTTGTGGCTAATGTGGACAATGCTGCTGTGAACACCCGCGTACAGATGTTTGTTGGAGTCCCGGTTTTCGTTTCTCTTAGGTGTATTCACCTAGGACAACTGCTGGGTCACCAACTCAATGCTTAACATGTCGAAGAGCTGCCAGCCGGTTGTCCACAGCAGCCGCACCGTTTCACATTCCCACCAGCAGCACCTGGGGGTTCCGATTTCTCTACACCCTCAGCAACACTGGATACCTTCCATTGTTCTGACAGCCGTCCTGGCATGTGTGTCAAGTGTTGATCCTCCACTTTGAAAGCAGAGCGGAGATGCCACCCGGCCCCACCTCGATGATCCAGCCCAGGAAATGGATTCCCAAGGTCATCCTAGAACTCTGCCCTCTGGGGCCCTGGCCCCTGCACTGCTCCCAGCCCAACCCCACCCCACCCCCAGCGACTTTATCAGCAGGGAATGCATGGCATGCAGAGCAGGAGCCTCGGGTACAAAGGACTGGGGTCCGTGGAAGCAGCTGATCCCGCCCTTAGAAAAAATCCAGTGCAGATAACTCAGAGCACACCCCTCTCACACCCAAATTTCAGAAGCTGCTCTGAACCACAGGCAGGTCACAGGAATGAACTCCCTTGAGTTTTCCAGAAAGCTACAGTTTTTTTTTTCTTCTTTTTTTTTGTGTCGAAATACAGGAATGAACCAGTACAGGTTTCTTTTAAAATAAAACAAAACACACACAAACCTACTCAAACTTGGTGTTAGATTTTTAAAGACCTTTAAAGATTCTTAAAGGTCTTAGACCTTGGCTCTCGTCAGCCTTTATCCCAGCTAAAAATGGTAGCAGTGGGCAGCCCGGGTGGCTCAGCAGTATGGTGCCGCCCTCAGTCCAGAGCCTGATCCTTGAGACCCAGGATCGAGTCCCACATCAGGCTCCCTGCATGGAGCCTGCTTCTCTTTCTGCCTGTGTCTCTCTCTCTTTCTCTCTCTCTGTGTCTCTCATTAATAAATAAATAAAATCTTTAAAAAAATAAATACAAACAAAAATGGTAGCAGCAGCACGGACCCTCCTAATGGGCTCTCATCTAGGGGTCTCCCTTGACTGACTCCTTCAGCCACAAAATGTTTTGATTTTTCCACCCTTGGCCATAAAGAAAACAAATGAGTGCTTTCAAAAAGGTCTGTCCCCTTCCCAGAGAGATAGGATGCTGGATGGCCTGGCCTTGGATCCCAGCTCTGCCTCTACCCCAGTCCTGGGCCTGTGGGTTTGGCAGAGTGACAAGTTCTCTGGGCCTCAGTCAATCTGCTAATAATATGGGTTGTTGGAAGGATGAAGTGAGTTAACATGTGAAATCCTTAGCAGCCCCGACACAGAGCTGGTGAACAAGATATGTACTCCTTTGTAGCAGCCAACAGCGTGAGGGTGACGGGGTGACACATCCCCACATCTCCACCTGCGTCAAAACCAGCAAAGTGCACCTCCCCCATTTATAACAGGCAATCTGGGGTATATTCCTCTAGGATTGGGTTTATACACACACACAGATACACATGTACACATACCTATATACACACATTCCATTATAGGTGTTCCATTTCTTCTTCTCTTGCTGTGATTTTAGGAAGGATTCTATCAGACTTACATAACTTTGACATTACTAGTGGATTCTCTAAGCCCCTGACCTTTGGTGGACATCTCCCTTTGGCATGTTTTCAGTAGCACTGGCCATTGTAGGCTTGCTGTCTTTGGGCACGGCAGCAAGAGGAAATTAGAGAGACTTCTATTTGCCGTAGAAGGAATTCTTCAACACTTAACTACATTATCAGTATCAAGATCCTCTATTACTCGGAAGTGTAATTTCTTTCTCTCTTCCAAGGAAAGGAAATTTGAAACGGTTTCTGGGGGAAGGACAGAGTAGAGATTTATTCTGGTAGGGCTGGAAGCCACCAAGGCAATGACAGCGAGTGGCCGTCAAGGAGTAGACCCTGGATCAAGAGTCAGGATCCAGGCAGCTGAGACCCAAACCACTTCAGTTGTGGTGCGAAAAGGACAATATTCTGTTTGGAAATCAAGTCAAGCTTTATCGATAATGCAAATTTACTAGGAGCTGCTGTAAAAATTAGAACCGATCAGAATGCCTTCCCCATCAAATTGTTTTATTAGGTTAATTAAACAGCTTAAAGACAATTCATTTTGTTCAGTACCCTTCTAGAAAATATTTCAAGTTTTAAGTGAACTTCCAATACATAAAACAAAATTACTTTACCATAGACAAATTTCAGATCAAAATACAACACTCTGTTTCTGTTTTCTTACAGTTATAAAATCCAGTCAATACAAACTACATAAAAAAGATAAAACACTTTCACTGATCCTCGGTACAAGAGAACAGCACAACTGCCGTATGTTCCCAAAGCACAAGTCCTGTGCTTGTTGAGAGGGATCGACCCAGTTACTCCACAACACACTGAAGCAGGCGAACAAAGTGCGTCCTACTGGATTTGACAAAATGAACAAACTCTTTTTGCATCAGTATCACTTGTAAACCATAAAGCAACTCTGTAAGAAAAGTCACTAATTCAAAATTACTTCCACTTTGCTAAATTTCATACCAGCAAAGGAATAGAAAGTTACTCCACAGAACAAATGAGTACATTTGGACCATAGGATGTTTGAGACATGACATTTCAGCAAAATCAAGTTAGCACAGTTTCTCTATTTGTCCTACTGAGTTTGAGGAGTACAATTCTACAAGCTGCAGCTTCCCAGTACTTCAAATATTTCCAACTGTCCATATAATGTCTTTCATTCAGCTTCTGTGTATTTCATTGCAAATGTTTTTTTTTCTAATTTTTAATTTTTAGCAATATGTGCTTCCTGAAAGATCAGGATACCTATCACACACAATACAACCTCAGCTGAACACACGTCTGAGCAGACTGCTCAACTTGGAATCTTTGCAGGTTATAAAAGTTGCAGGGTTTGAACTAAAACAATTCTCTGTATGTGCCATGTCAGAAAACATAAATATGTTAATTACGCATTCATACCAGATGAGTTCTGATATGGTGTCTTCTGAACTTGGTATTTATGAAATTTTCCTTTAAAAGCATCAAAATGGCAAATCAAGAGTGTGCTAAAAACCAGTTCTTGACCAGTTAGGCCAGCTACTACGCAGGCGACCAGCCAACAGGACCGTCACCAGCAATTCTGTGGGATGGGAGCCCACTGTGAAGATCAGCCCTGAATCTTGGAGAGTCAAAGTGAATTCCTGTTTTAAGGAATTCCCTTGATAGCTTTCTTCTAGCAGGAGATCTGCATCAGTGATTAAAACCAAATGAATCTACACGTTTATAATGAGTTATGGATGGATCTCATTCACAGATTCAAGCATCCCTGTTCCCAGGAACATACAGCAATAAAACGAAGTTGGCCCGAGGCTGCCTGTCACGCTAAAAGCACAGTAGGCTGCTGTGAGTGCTCGACATTTCTGCCGAAGCCATGACTCCTTTTGTGCGGTTGTCACGATTCAGGAATGGTAGGATTCGAAACAAAACAAGTATCGCTGTGTCCCTGGTGACACGAAGGGGTACAGGAGTGTGGAACCAAACAAAAGCTGTGTTATAAATGAGTCAAAATGAAAAGAATCCCATCAGCAGAAAAAGCCACAGATTATTTAATTAGGCAAGTGTTGCTAAATAGCCTGTGCTTTTCTCGACTAAAAGGCCACTTGGTTTATCTCCCACCATAAAATTACCTGCCCCATGGAATTTGGCTGTTTTCATGGAGACCTTGAATTCTGAGGTCCCACGGAGGGAAAAAGATGCTGTGAACCCACAGAAATTGGTTTGTTTTTAAGCTGATGATACCCTTTTGCCCCATGTATCAGATCCTACATAGTTTTTTTTTTTTTTAATTTTTATTTTTTACAAAGCCTAAGAGTCAAATTCAATAAGCACATGCTAGGTTAATAGTAATACATTTATTTTCCGGAGTTTCTTTTGAAGCAAAATCTCTTTTGAAAAAAATATGAAGAAATGGTCTCTGATTGTAAACGAGCAATTCTAATTTCTGATTCTACTCACCATTTGAGTGGCATGTGTTTTTAAGTCAGAGCTAACTAGAGAAGGAGACCATGGTCTTGTTGCGCTCGAACGAACGCTCACAAGGACGGTGTGGGCCGAAGCCCACGGGCCCGGTCCTGCGGTGGGTGTGCAGGTGGCTGGGGTGCAGGTGAGCCATCTGGGCCCCCTGAACACGCCTCGCCAGGCGATGTGGGGCCTGCACAGTGCCTTGTGGCTGGCTGCTGAGGTAGTACGTGTGGCATCTGGAGCCCCTTCTCCTGGCTCGGAGAGGAGCCCCGAGGACCTCCAGGCAGGTGTGGAAGGCGGCCGAGCTGTGCCCCAGGGAGGCTGTTCTAGTCTCCAACGGCTTGGGGAGCCTCAGCTCTGCAGCTGGCCATACCTCAGAGGGAGGCTCTGGCCCTGAGCTCTAACCAGGGAGGAGCAGGGTGGCAAGGACTCTGGGAAGCTCCCCGGGGCCTAGGGGACAGGTCTGGCTCTCTTGCAGCCAGCCAGGGCCAGCTGGCTGTGGAAAGTGCTAGTCACAAAGCTTGGGTCAAGAGCTCCCAGAAGAATGCCTTTTCAATAAATATTTTTAGGCTAATGGTCTGGGGAACAAGAGAAGGATTTTTTCTTGCCCCCCCCCCCATTCTTTTTGGGATACATACTTTATAAGTAGTTAAAACCCTCGGCTGGGACAGGTATGGGATGAGGAGCAGAGGGCAGGGTGGGAAGGCCAAGCAGAGTGTGTCAATAAGATGACCCTTGAAAACAAGACCAAAATAACTCCTTCCACAATGACTGAAGTCCCTGACCTGGTACAGAGAGACATGCCAACTGAGGAGGAGCCTGTTTCCTGGTCTTTGGGCAGCCACGGTGGGATGTGGGGAGGAAAGCCAACACCGGTTCAAATGGAGCTTATTAGTAAGTGAAGACAACTCAAGAAATGTAGAGAAAAGCACAAGAGATGGGAGAGCACAGACGACTCCCTCCCAAGAACTCAAGTGCATGCCCCAGCTGATGCCTGTTTCCTCTATTTTGGGGCAGATCTTTGCCAAAGCCAGTGGGGCCAGAAGAGACACGCAGAGTGAGGCGCAGCCTCCCATCCCTCCAGGACTAAGACTGCCTTAGGCTTTCATAGAAGAGGGAAAGTAAAGCCACTAGCGGAATCCGATCCCTTGGAAACTCTTCTCAAAGGAAGACAAGAATCCATCAAGCTGGAAGGGGCCTGAGGTGGTAAGCCAGCCCAACTGGCCCAGCACACGAGCCCCCTTGAGAGCATCCCAGGCCTTGGCCACCTCTAGGCCCTGCTCAAAAGGATGCAGTTTTTACTTATTAGCTTTCTTAAATCTGCAGAGGTACTGACAGATTTCAAGCAAAAAGGAGATAAAAAGCAATAATCGCTGTACTAGTTGACAATATGGTTTTAGGCAAATCTCTAGAACTGTGCCTATTTCTGAAAGTTCAGCTGAAGAAGGCCATGGCTATTGGCCAGAGGCCACAGTAAGGAGGCTGTGGATAGGTGGTGGGCAGGAAGGGAAGAGAGAGAGAACAGGTTGAAAGGGACAAGGACTCTTCTCCTTAAAAATCAATGTGCAAGTACAAGCCCTCCCACCCCCATGTTTTACTCAACTGTTCATCTGCAAGGAGCTTTGGAGATCGTGACCAGTATCCTGCAACAAAGCAAGAACCCTCTCACTGACACGAACATGCTGCAAGAACTCTCCTAGGGGCATGTCCAGAGATAAATGCTCAGAACCAGGGAGGGCACCCATTTTACCATGAGGCCACTCTGTCTCCACATTCACTGTCGGCCTGAGCCATGCACATCTGCTATGTTCTAAAGACATCCCCACAGGCCAGAGCCTCAGGCCTCCAGAGCCCCCACCACCTACCTCGGGCTTGCTCAGGTCTCTCCAATGGTGGCACCCGGAACTGGGTCCTGGGGCCCATCCAAGGGCAGCCCGTGGACAGAGTAGCAGAAGAGATTTCCTTTTCTGGCTACCAGTCCCCCACACAAACACTCTTCTTTTTTTTGTTGTTTTTAATTAATTTTTATTTTTTAAAGTATGCTCTACCCACAACATGGGGCTTGAACTCACGACCCTGAGATCAAGTCACAAGCTCTACCGACTGAGCCAGCCAGGCGCCTGCCTCTATTCTTATTTTTAAACAGCTGGCTTATGTTCAAATCATCAATGATTCCTGCCCCACCCATTTTCTTTCTTTTTCATTTAGGAACTATCTTTTCTGAACCTAGGTATAAGACTCTCTATTTAGCCATTTATTAGACTGTCACAGCGCGGCAGACCCTAACACCCAACACTTCATCCTTCTCAGCACTTTTCTCAGTCTTCTTTTTTATATGTTACTAAGAAAAGCGTTACAAACCTCCAGCCATTCTGGGCAGCACTGTCAGGCACGGCTGTTCCATACATTTCTCAGCCTTGTCGGCTTTGTTTCAACTGCCTTTTCTTATTCACAGAGAGATCGAGAATGATTTTATAGAATGCCTTCCATGTTGCTACATCTGCCAGTCCCAGGGTGTGAACCGGAGAGGAAGTGACCGTAGGAAAGGGTTAAGGGGCTCACTTTCTGTATCACTTTCTTAAGTAATCCTACTTTATTTGAAGGTGCAAAAGCTCTACATACACACATACACAAAAATGTATTTGTAACACAAATTTTGTTTGCTTAAGTTTCACACAGCATCCAAGTTAAGAGAGAATAGGTATACTGATCTCAAATAGAGATGTAAAATATATCCAGTTTATTTGACCAGTATAGCCCGCTACTTGTGACATCTTAGGGTAAAAAGAAAGATTCAACTTTGATAAAGAGTTTTAAGTATTATTAGAGGACTTCATTAGGCAAATTCTGATTTGAGGGTTATTTAAAATAACTCTAAATATTCTAAGTACATATTATGGGATGTTTCAGTTCTACAGAATCATCCTGAATTCAAATATTAGAGCAGCAGGAGAGCAATGGCATGGGTCCAGAAAGTAAATCATTTTATCAACACAAATATCCATTTACTTATAGATCCTGTGGCAGCAGACACTGGAATGGGGAGGTGCCAAGGCCAGGACATACCACGAGGGCAGTGCTGCCCCCTGACCAGTGACCCGAGACTATGGTGAGTGGCCATAGCGGCCACGGTTACAGCTCAAGCATGGTGGTGCTAGGTTCTCACCTTTAAAACGTATCTGATCTTCAGAGCAGCCCAAAGAGGTAAACACCCCCATTAACCTACATCTGTAGGTAAGGAACTGGGCCTTCAGGGTTAAAGGGTCCCGAAGGGTCCCCAACAGCCTGTGGTGCTAGTCTTCATCTCACCTGCACCTGGCACCATGGCCTGTGTGTGCCTGAAGCCACTAGGTTTGCTTGGGAAAAAGTATATCAAGTGTTTATACATGTTTTCCTCAAAATAACTGAAAAAGTTGAGGCTCTAAGGCAGAAAGTCTCGGTTCTCTTGGAAACCACTCAGGGAAAGGTCTCACACCTGCTGCCAGACCCATATGGTGCTGACGTACTGTCATGTGGGGAGAAACTCTGCCCTCTGCTCTAGAAAGCACAAGCTGAACAGCGAGATTGTGTTAGAGCATAGTGACCGTTCCACTGTTAGGTTTTATCTGGTCCGTAAGTTATTCCAGGTTGGCTAGGTTTTTAGGAATGGGCATAGCTCTTCTGGGCACTAGCGATGCTGGGTAATTCCCGTGAGAAACCACCCCAGGAGGGGAAGGTGTGACTGCAGGGCATCGGGGGGCCTTGTGGCCCCCCCGCCCAACTTACTAACTGGGGAAGCTGACAGATCCGGGTGCGGACAGAGCCCACGTATGCCATGTGGACAAGGCACATTTGACTGATGTCCAATACAAATCCAATTACTCATGAATTTAAGTATAATGCAATTCTGTGCTGTTTGGTCAACCTCAATCAACTCTGTACTTCCTTTCACAACCCCAGCATGTCAGATCAGAACGAAGAGACGACGAATCTACTAATGAGCCTCTGTTTTCATCAAAATTAAAGATTCCTGGGAAACAAATTCATGAAAATACACTTCATAGCTCCTTAAACTGCTCACAGTAGCACCTTGCAGACCATGAAACACAGTAGCCCCAACCATCTGAGCTCCATATTCTAGGTCAGATTCCACAGACACCTCCTATCTGACCATAGCAGGATGGGGAGTGAGCCCTCTGTCTTACACAGCAGTGCAGTTTAAATGTACTACTTTCCTACGTTATGAAAACATAGTCTCTTAAAGACTCTTTAAAGTTCAAGTTGAGTTTCAAGTAATCATTTTGCAGCAGCTCTAGGAGAATGATTGTTCCTCCTGATTAAAAGTGCCTATTTAAAAAAAAAAAAAAAGGTAGTAAAATGGAAAACATGCCTTAGAGAATTGTATTCCTCAAGGCCACCCGCTGCTTGCTTCCAGGCTTTTGTTAAAGGACAGAATGTGTTGAATTCTCCTAAATTGGCAGGGGATCAAGCACAACACTACATAATGAGGTAGCTGAGAACAGAGTTTTTCCTATAAACACAAAGAACAAGGGAATAAGTGCATGTAATTCTCATCCAATTAAACAGGAAACATGATAAAGTGAGCTACATATAGTCATATTTATACCAAGTTCACAGGTTTAACTGGAAAAAATTCAATCCAAGGTTCTAACATAGGTCTTATCTGTAATTGATGAGTAGGAACAATAAAAATAAGGCATTTTAAAACCTATGATTTTTGTGGAAACACCAAAAATAAAGGTCTAATAAATATAATCTGCTGACCAGAAAGAAAGTTGAACCTGCATCTACTTGGGATCTGAATTATCTTAAGTGGCCACGTATTTATACAAGTCACATGGAAGGCCTGATCTTTCTCCTCGTTACCTTAATGCAGTGTATACCCAGGCTGTGTGCACTGCCTTCCTCCCTCCGGCTCATCACTTCTCTAACGCAGATCACAGTGACTGAGGAATTTATGGCAGCTAGGTTGGACCATAAGGACGCCAATATTAAAAATTATAATTAGCCCAAATTTCGGCTGAGCAGCAATTTTAAAGTATTAGTTTTTATCTCAAAAAAAGAAAAGAGAAGGCGACAGGTATTTCCCTCTAGGTAATTAGGCAATGTCATTTTATCTATCAGGTATATGACGTGGTGAGGAAGAGGAGAAGCTTAAAGACCCAATCACTTAGAGAACTTCAGTATCAGAACCAAACGTGAGCAAGCCTTCCTCAAAGGTATGCCCTTAGACGAAAGAACAGAGTCATAACTGAGTTCCTCAGATATCACATAAACACAATGACTGTCATGAGACAAAGCTGAGATTGATTTAAGATTAAAAATAGAATCACTTCCAAAAAATAGAAAAGTTTAAAAAGTTTTACCAGTTGGTGTGCAAAAAAGGAAAAGTCTACCTTTCAATACTATTGACTTTACCTCCAAGAGGCAGCAAAACCTCAACCTGATTTCATATTCTCTGGTTATGGGCAAGTGGGTCATCCCTCACCTTTATACCATACATTTCTGTAATTCCTGAACTGACTAAACAGAGTACTTCAGGGGTTGTTAGAAGGTTACCAAAATACTTTCTCCAGCATTCTAAGACACAATCTCTTCTCCCTTACTGATCAGACGTGGTAAGAAAAGCAGTATAAAATAAAGCTCCAGATTTTTAAAAGTAAGAACTGCTTCTCCATAAAATACACTTAGTACTTCTGTTCTCACGACCTTAATAAATTCTTAAATTTCCTATAGCTAACGGAAAGAAAACCAAAGATCTTTCAGCTTACATCTGTGTAACTTATAAAAGGACATATTTGGAGGCTTATGTTATGCCACAAATGATTATTTTATGAATAAAAATACTTGTATGCCTAGAAAATTAAGTGGTAGTCTCAAAGGCTGAACGGTGAAATGATAATAGAAAGACCCGGATTCTGCTTCTGGTTTCTACTCATGTGAGAGGTGGAAATGAAGCCGTACCTACTGGGCCTCAGAGACTGCTCTCTGTCCAATGAGGGGGGTGGTGGAGGGCACTGCACCCATTGCAGGAACGTGAGGATCAAAGCAGTTTATTATGGGAAAGACTTGGAGCCATATATAAAAAACAATAAATAAAACCCAACATTAAATGTGATAAATGGCATTAGATGTGCTGAGTATAGGGTCCCCCCCTCACCACCACCAAATCTTACAGAACATTTGGAGACCACCAAATTCTGAGTCCATATGTCAGGCACTTTTTGCATTTTTTAAATTCTGTATTAGTTTCTCACTCTATAATATGAAGCCAGTCTGTGTACAAAGTTTCTCATCTAAAATCCAGCAAAATAAATTGCTCATGAGAGAACTTCTCAATCCTGTGAAGAACACTGCTTTGATTACAAGGGTACTATGCACTGGCCAACCATTTATTGACTACCTGCTGTGTGCCAAGCACTGGGATTAGCAGATGGCCAAGACAGGGTTGCTGCCCACAAGGAGTTTATGATCTAGAGGGATGGCAGCATGACAGCTCCCCAGAAATCCAAATAGAATTCTTAGTGGGTGCTCTAGAAGCATTTGCTGATTAAATCCAGGGCAGCTTTTTCACACTAATTGGAGTCTCCACTCTCCCTGGTTCCCCCCAAGGCTCACACACATGAGGGGCAGCCGCAGAAAGAGAGCAGTCTCACCCTACCCTTCCACCAGGTGCTTTTTAAGGGGGTTCCAGTGCCTTTTAAATTCATGCAAAGGGCCACCTCATTCTTTCCCCAGATAATCAAATGTCTTCATCTGACCACAGGAGACTCCTCTGGAATTAAGAAGACCAACAAGAAGGTAACACTGCAGTGTTTTTAGTACTCCTTTGAAAACTTTTTGGTTTGGTCCACTGAAGTCAGAATGCACCAAATGGAACCCCAATGGACCAAGGCAGCTAAAGAATTTCTCTAAAAACCTAGCTTACTACCATGAATAAGAAGGTGCCATAGCAAAGACAGCCCTATCTTTACCAGGTCAATATAAGGATGTGTTTCCTGTATATTGCCTGAGGATATTCCCCCCCCCAAAAAAATTATAAAAATGGCACCTTCAAAGCATTATTGAAGTGGTAGTGCAATATAACAAGACACTTCAGTACAAAGAATATCATCACTCATATATTCTCTCTGGATTGTTGCAGTTTGAGCAAAGCCTACTGTTAGCTATCAATTCCTCACAGCAATGAAAAAAAGAACTAATGAAATAAACAATGAACTTAAAAATTTCTTAGGCCAAATCTTTACAGTCTACCAACTGTACTAGTTGGTAAACACTGTTTTTAATCCCAGTAAAGAAATGCAAACATCAAGTAAAACTTACTACAAACCACAACGCTATGGATATTTATACCTGATGTGAGCTTAACATAGTAGTATAAACTGAAGGGCCACGGGCTCAAGAATTTATCTGAAGCACCAGGAGACAGTAATATATGTAGTTTGGAACTACAATTTAAAAAGTAAACATATATAAACAAACTTACCAAGACACATAACACACACATTCTCTCCCTCTCACAGGATATCACACTATCACACGCTCACAAAAAAAAAAAACCACTTCATTTTAAATTAAACACTTACCTCTTCGAAAAATCTATATTTGGATGCATTAAACAAACAAACAAACAAACAAGCCTACTGTAGACTGTAGCCTAGGAGAGATCCTTTAAATATTCATTGACTCTAACCTGAGACAACTTTCCTTCTGTTGGCAGGTTAATGAAAATACATTGCACTTCCCCCAAAATTATTTTATTTAAAATTTTAAGATCTGTCCTCAACTGCCAATTCCAACCTACACCCGGTAAAAGTGCCTATGATAAAGAAGTATTAAAAATTTATCAAGAAAAGATGTTTCAAGGCATAAGTGGAACGTTAAAGCGAACCTGCATGAAATGAGTTAAAATTTATTTCACAATACTGAAGTAAATATCATTTACAAAAAAAGTCATGATTAATTTTGGAACATAATAAAATTAAATATATTCCTACACTTCAACATAATATATATATATTTTTTCATATATATTTCACATATATATGAAAATAACAGTTTGGCACTTAGCAGCTTCTGTTGGTTATAGCATCCCATATTATGTGGCAAATTTATTGTAAAAAACATTACTTAAATTTCTGCAGCTACCGTGTCAATGAACAGAATAAAAAACTAAAAATGAACTGTTTTTATAAAATGAATTCACCAAGTCATGCAGGCACTGTAAATATTGCAATAGCGACCCATTCACTCCTCAACAATGAATTGTCTCCTTGGAGAGGCCTGGCGTAGACTGGAAAGTTTTAAACTTCAGAAATTAAACAGAGAGAGTTGCTGACTGTCATGGCTTTCATAGGACATCAGTCACTGCTTTCATGTACCTCAGCTGCAACTTCTGAAGGCCAAGGTTCTGTTCCACACAGGATAGGTTACCCAAGAAAGTTAACTTTTCCAGCAATTTGCTTCCCCTAGAAAATGAGTATCTAATTGAAAAAAAGAAGTTTCCTTTCTTTGCAGTGGCCATATGGCTTGCTTTGATGAAAAGATACCCCAGGCATTGCTGGGACAGTGTGCAGACTACAGCTGACTGGTACACAATACAAAGAAAAAAGGTCAACTTTGCTTTATACATCGAATTCGGCTGTGATACATGAATGTGTGGCAAATCTGGCCTACTGCCTCTGATCTAGAAGATAAACACTGCACGCCTTCTTTTACCAGTACTTTCTGCCACACATAACAGTTTTTAGAACCCCCACAGGCAAGGCTTCTTCCAGCAACGTTTATAGCATTGTACTGACTCCTAACAGGTGTAAGAAAAAAAACTGCAGATGGGGGTTATCCTTTTTTTCTGTTCATGGGTGGGGAAATATAAGCGATGTTTCATAAGCATGTTTTTAACAATATACAAGCATTTCATCTAGGAAGTTTCCAGAAGAAACTCCTATTCTCAAATTTATAACCAAATGATACATTTATACATTTATTAATCATTAAGACAAAATACTGCTTCTTCTAGCCATTTACCAAGAGGGGGGAAAAAGCTGTAGAAAACAATCAGAAATGAAGAGTTTGGTATTAAATTGATTAGAAATCTGATATTGCATAAAATTCAAATTATGACATCATCAAGCACTTTGAAGTCCCCGACTGCACACTAAGGTGGCATAATTTGAATGGAAAACAAAGTATCTTACAAGGTAAGTGCTACTAATGACAGACCTTTTCCCTCAGTGGGAAGTGGGGTAGTGTGGGGTGACACAGGAGAGCTATAGAAGAGCAGAGGCGGAGGAAGAGATGAATTTGCTCTACTATGAACAGAATGAAATTAAGTTGAGGTAGTTTATTCTACCAGCCAAACTTTACTTATAATGTAATTTGTCTAAAACTCTTGCTAGTGAACGGCATTGAGAAAATTCTGTTATAAAGACTAGATTCTTAACACAGGTATGCGTTCTAAGACAAGTTTTCAATCTCAAACAGGAGTAAACAAGACTTTGTGTGCTTTCAGACAGATTGAAGGTTTTGATCCCTATATATTTTGTCTGGACAGTTTTTGTAGTCATAGATCTTTATTATTTGTCTGACTTAGGTCTTTCTTCTAGAAAATCTCCTATTCTGTTTAATAACCTCGTGTTTATAAAATGGTTCTAATTATTTGCAAGGAAGAATGGCACTGCATGAGATCCTTCACAACTCCAAGAGAACTACCCCAGAAACTATGGCAAGACCCACCTGAATCAACACAGAAGTTAGCAATTTCCCCTTCAGTTCACAAGAGGGCAACCTGACTCATTAATTTATTGAACCTTTAGATGACTAAGATAGAATGTCATAAAAGAGAAATTTTATCTTAGTTTCAATTCATGATAATATAGTTTAAAAAAGATTCTTAGGACACAGTACTAGTAGTTAATGGAGACTAACCGGCATACAGTCCAATCTAACATTTTAGGCACAAACCTTAATTTGTCGGGCAGGGTTAGGTGTGATATTTCCTTCCAGGTGCAGTAGAAAAGCAATCTTGGTAGTTTGGATATGTTGATTTGCATATATGGATTTTTGTTTGTTTACCAAAGCCAGGTACTAGAACACAGCAGTCACTCAGATAGGAGTTCCCTTCAGGAAAAATGCACCCTAGTATTTTAACTTCACTATTTTACATGATACCAATTCCCACTTCCCTTCTCCTTTTGACATTTACTAGCCTGTTTGTCTGCAGACACATCTAACTGGAGGAACAGATTCCTCAAAGTTAGCTTTTTCAACAGTTACAGGTTCTCCCAAACGAGAGTGGAAGCTCAGGCTTCTAAGCATTATAGTAAAACCACCAGTTACCATACAAAGCCCGGCACACAGAGCAAGTTTCGGCTGCCACCTCTGTTCCCCTCGCAGAAAGCCGTGTTATGGTGCGCTTGGTCAGGAGCTCTGCTTCTGCTCTGTTTTCTCCTCAAGGTGAATGAACACGGATACGGAATAAGCCTTGCTGAAGCTGTAGGCGGAAAAGCTTGCAATTTGCAATGCGTAAGGCTGCACACCCCGTGCGGCGAAGGTCAGATGGAAGGAGTGGTTTGGTGTGGTGCCAGGTTCCTGTGCTTCTTTTAAACTCACGCACATAGTCGTAATTGGTACCTAGACCATGAGAAGCGGCAAAGGTGATGCAAGGCGCCTTGGAGTCACCAGGAAATAGATCCAGCAAAATCACCACAACGTCCTTACCTGTATCAAGATCTCCAATAACATAAATACTGGCTCCTATGGGTACAGCTCCATAAACGAAAGAGGAACTGGCAGGGATGCATAAGTTCTGGTCGTTAAGATAGATCCACCTGAAAATGAACAGATGGGCAAATCCAAGGAAGTCAAGAGGATGACCACAATATCCAGGGAGACCATCAAACTTGGGGAGCCAACAAACAGCACTAGGAACTGCACCAGTTCAGCTCGACCTGCATCCCCATTGCCGGGTAACTGCTGAGTTCTCTCCCGTCACTATGGATACTAGTTTTGCCTGTTCTAGAATGTCACATATATTAAAACGTAAAGAGCATGCACTTTTCAATCAGCTTCTTTTGCTCAGCACAATTCATCTACACTGTTGTGTGCATCAATAATTCGTTTCTTTTTAAGTGTTATTCCATTATATGGATAGACCAGAACTCGTTTATGTGTTGACCTGCTCATGTTCATTTGGGTGATTGTCAGTGTGTGGCTGTTGTGAATAAAGCGGTTTTGGACACTGGAGTGCAAATCTTCTTTGTGTGGATGATGTCATGGAATTGACTGGTTTTGTGGCTTAAGGTACATTCTACGCGATAAGAAAATGCCACACTATTTTCCAAAGCATTGTGCCATTCTGCATTCTAATTTGCAATGTCTGGGAATTCCAACTGCTTGGCATTACCAAGCCTGCTCTCAGTACTGCTGGTTTTTCTGACTGTAGCAGTGTTAATGGTGTGGGCTTCCCCAAGAAGGGTGCTGGCTATCTCCATGTGCGCTCACTGGCCGTTTTATCTACCTTCTTTTGTGAAATGTCTGCTCCAAGAGTTGCTCATTTTTAAAATTGGGTTTTCTGTCTTCCTACTGAATTTTAAGATTCTTTTGTGTTGTGGGATACAAGTCCTTTGTTAGATACATATATCATGAATATTTTCCCCAGCTTGTAGCTTATCTTTTTGTTTTCTTAATTGAGCCTTCTGAAGAATGGTTTTTAATTTTGACAAATTCCTATTTGTTTATTTATTTAAATAGTTCATGCTTTCTGTGCCCTTCTTGGAAATCCCTGCCTATTCCAAGGTTGCAAAGGTCTTCCTCCTATGCTTTTTTCTGGAGATTTCACAGTTTCAGCTTTCACATTCAGGTCTTATCATACGTTTCAAGTTGAATTTTGGGTATGGTATGAGGTAGAAGTTCACTTTTCTTCTTCCATACAGATATCTAGTTGCTCCAGCATCATTTGCTGAAAAGACGTTTCTTTCTCCCACTAAATTGCCTTGGCATTTCTGTTGAAAATCAATTTAATAACCACAAAAAGGATCCAGTGCTCCACAAAGAGGTAGCTGATTCCCCAGCTGAGACAGAAAATACAAGATGAGTCTGGAGCATCTTGTGCTGCCAGACAGGAAGGGCTTAAGAAGGGTAGGGTGTGTCCAAAGGACATGGAGCTAATAGGGAGGTTCCCAGTGGCCAAAGCTGGAACAGCTGAGCAACAAAATGAATAATGATAGTATTGGATTTATAACTTATAAAATAAAAAAAAAATATGTGAGTTCATACAGATACAAATAAGTAACTGAATATGTCAAAAAAAAAAATAGGGAGGAGGGAACGGTCTTCTTTACTGAGTTCCAGTTAACAAATGTAGACAGAATGAGGGAAATAGATCAACATTAGGAAACCACCACAGTTGTAACTACTGCTGGTGTAACTACTCCACTGATAGGTGCTTAATTAGTGGTGAAAGTTTGAGAAGAAATGGTGTATTTGCACATTCTCATTTATCTCTTCCAATGTATTTGTAAATTAAAAGGGAAATATAGCAACTTTACAGTGGAGAAACCCAACAGACACTACCTTAACCAGGTAATCAAGGTTACTGTCACCAGTAATAAGACATAGAAACAGCATGTCCTCCTTGATGGAGTGTATCACCTCTGTGGTGCTCCTGCCAAAGATGCCTATCCTCAGCCCAATCATGAGAAATTATCAGACAAATCCAAATTAAGAGATATCCTATAAAAACACGGACCAACTATCTTCAAGAATATCCTGGTCATGAAAGGCAGGGAAAGACCAAAGAACCATCACAGGTTAAAAAAGACTAAAGAAACACAACTCAGTGTGTTGTCAGTTCCCACATGGCATCCCAGAGCAAAGGGAAAAGAGAGAGTAGTGGATAAGCTGGTGAAATTCGAATAAAGATTAGCGTTTACTTAATAATACCGTGCCAACATAAATATCTTGACTGTGATATCTGTACTATGGTTATGTAAGATGTTAACACGAAGAGAAGCTGGGTGAATGGCTTACTGGGGATTCTATTTTTGCAATTTTTCTTTAAGTGTAAAATTATTCCAAAATAGAAGTGATTTTTGCTTAAAAAACTACCACCACGACAACTGTGGATTCCACTATATAATAACATTCACTTAAGGTAATTGGAACAAATAATTTCCTTTCAATAGCTAATGACATAGCTGGGGTAAAGCAGCTCTAGGTCAGACCCTGGGAACATATCTAAACCCTAAGAACTACAAATGTCCAGGCCGACATGCATTATTGGAGCATATGACATACGGACGTTATTCCTATTCTCTCTGTGCTATGAAGTGTCCAAGAAGCCAGCAGCTCAGACCTAGTGCATCTGGATGTCAAATACAAATGTGAAACTGTTCCACTAAGAACAGTGCTTTTATTTCAAAGAACTCTTCCCAGATTGTTATAAAGCAGCAGCTTCCATATTTTGAATTCTAAGAAACAGGGAAGCAAAATTATCTGTCCAAGATCACATAACAACTCAGAAGCAAGCTAACGTAAAGCTGCTATATTCGAAAAACCTTCATTCAACACTTGATTCATCTTATACCTGAATGTTGACTGGTATCCAGCAGTTTGCTGGAACTGGGACTACAACTTGGCTCCTGGTTTCAAAATGTCTCTAGGAAACAGGGGAAGGGAAAAATTCAAGAGCTCTCACTGAAAAGTAAAAATAGGGACATGAACAGGCTTTGAAAGAAAATGTTTGAAAATATCAAACTACAATAACTGGCTTATTCACATTTTATGTCTTCAGGGCTAAGCATCGCTATCTAAACCTTGACATTTAAATTCTTCCCAGGTTCTGAATCAAATGAATCCAATGACTGTCCCCCAGGCCTTGTCTGTGGCTGAACCCTACAGCCAGGCCCAAACTCAGGGGAGAGGCACACCACTCTTCTGGGCAAACTCATGATGGGGCCATGTGTATGCTCACAAGAGTAACTGGTACTTCTAAATGAGCATCAATGACTAGACTGTTTACTGAAAAGCATATCAGAATACAACAATATTTTGGCATAATTTTTGTTGAGTTGAGAATCTCACATTATTCCTCCCAGGAATAATTAAACAGAGCTCAAGAAACCAGTCTATGTAGATGATCTACCAAATTTGGTCCAAAGCAGATCAATGACTCAGAGTTCCTGAGTTTCAGAAAAATAATCCTAGCTGATCTATTTCCTATAATGCTGAGGGTTCAAATGAAATGAAACTAACATAAAAACTTAACTGCATCATGTATTTAGCCGCTGCTTTTAAAGCAGGTATAAAAGGTATATGGCTTTGCCTTCTTTCTCTGCCATCTATCACCTCGCTGATCTTAGACAATTTAGCTGTCATCTATAAAGTGGGGATACCAAACACCACCACTAACATCCAGTGACCTGTGGGGATGACATGACATGACCAGTGCAAAATACTTCACATACTATCTAGCACCAAGTGGGCATCAGTAAGTAGCAGTCATGTTTGTAACGGATGAAAGCAATAGTATCCCTTAGTTCCAATGTTTCCAAACATGGGCTTATTAGGACCTGAGGCTACAAGACGTGTCCTCTGGTAACTTAGAATTAGCAATGTCCATTGTGCAGGAGATTTTTAGAATATAGCCTGGTTTGTAGCAGCGAGCTTTGGCAAGAGCAGAGCAGGAGGGAAAGACAGGCAAGGAGAGATGGGGGTAGGGATAGCAATCAACTGGAGAGGAGAAGGAAGGACAGAGGTTTCTGCTTCTGACCAGGGAGAAAGCAACTCTCCGCAGGCTGACTGTCCTGCAAGGAGCAGCTACAAACTCTGGACAAGATACAAAAGACAACTGCCTGAGGGCTCTGAAGACTGAGAAAAAGCAGGCAGGTTTGAGATAAAAAGTGAAGGTTGAAGAAGCAACGCACATGAAGGGAGTTTCTGCATCTTCGGTAGCTTTGACCAAAGGTAGGGTGACACTGGCAGCTCCAGGTGGCTGAAACCCCTGGAGAAAAATCCTGCTGTCTTTGTGGTCACTGGAATCAGGGCAGAGTGTCTTGAGGCAACCAGAATCTTCTGAGTGAATACAAGTCTCAGAAAGAGGAGAGCCAGAGAAGGATGCCTAATTTTATACGTATGCACTTGTCTCAAGTCTTCGATCCCAGAGTCATGAGTGCTTGTAACTGAGGCTGGCTTATAGAACTGAAGAGAGGTTGGAACCGCCATGTGCAGCAGTGTGACAGCCTACCAGGAGCCTAAGCAGGTGCAAGGGAGGCCTGTTGAAACTCTCCGTGTAATGCTCTGAAGTGCCAGAAGAGATATCAGGGCCTCAGCAATGTGCCATTCACGATGTTTGGGATGCAACCCGTAATTACTCAACAAAAGAAAAGCCAGAAAAATGAGAACCCATTCTCAAGAGAACAAACCATAAACAGATGCCAACTCCAAGATGACCAAATGCTGGGATTATCTATCAGGTGGCAACTCGAATGTGGCTACCAGAACTACATTCAAAAGAGAAAGGGAAACATGTTTATGATAAAAAGATGGGAGATTTCAGTAAAGAAATGAAAAAATCTAAAATTCTACCTGAAGAAGCTGGTAAAGGAAGAACAGAATAAACCCAAAGAAAGTAAAAGGAAGGAAATAATATGGACAAGAGCAGATGCCAATGGAAGGCAGAACAAAGTGGAAAAACAGCCTTGAAAAGATAAACGCAGTGGTAGGCTTTGCGAATAGAGGGCACCGGAGGGACTGCAAGGCCAGGCAGCACGAAGGGTTTCTTTCCTGAGGTTGGTATGCCTTTGTCCTTCCTCCCATCAGCTGCTGCCTGCAAGTGTGCAGGAGACTCAGAGGTGCGGGTCCTCAGCAAGGTTCTCTGCCACCCAACACGCAGCGTCCTGCATGCACTGGCCACACCACATCCTTGCAGGGTGGGGGGATGTCTCTTCACAATTTGCTCCTTCTTAGGAGATTTCCCTCAGCCCTAAAGATAGTAGTAGCTGCGTTTTCTACAGTAGCAATTTTTGCGTTCATCAGAGCTCTCTTTCATCAGTTAGCAGTTAACCACCTCTTACTAGTTTATAATTACGTGAATTAAATTTTCCCTGTTCAGGGTACTGATGTGGTTTCTGTCTCTTGACTGGACTGTGGCTGAAACAGATTTGTCAGGAGAGTGTTCAGCTCCTCATCTCTTACAAAGGCATCTGTAGTACCTGCTACTTCCTAACCATCAATCCAAACACCATAATGTCAATGGGGAGATCAATATGATGCTTTAAAGGAACACGAAGGTGATCAAAATGTTCCTGGACTAACATAGTAGACAGTAGAACCAACATAGGCCTGAGGCCAGACAGTGCAGGGGTACTGCTGGCCCTGCAGGGCAAACTGCTTCTGGTGATCCTTGCAAATTGGTGCCAAGACAAAGCATTAGCTGGGTTAATAGCTGCCTACTCTTGCATTTTCAAGTTTTTGATGGTGGCACTAATTACTCTAACTTCCTCAAGGATGTGGAACTGTTTCTGGTTTTCTGTCACGGTAGGAAAGGAAAGTTATAGTGATTTCCATGCTATCCTTCCTACTGTAATGGCCCCCAAGCCTTGGGTCAGAGAACCACCACAAGATTCTACTGGTTGTCAAGTGTGTCTGCTCAATTATACCTTCAGGGATCAAAAGATGAAACTGACAGGCCTTGACTTCAACAGTCACCATGACTGTCCTATAGAAGCAAAAGGTGGGAATCCAGGCTGAGCAGGTGCATGGAGGCAGTCAAACACAGGATGAGTTAAGAGGTGAGCTGGAGTGCAGGACAACGGGAAGGAAGAGACTGGAAAAGACTGAACATTTCTCTTAACCTCAGACAACAGAGGACTCCAGCAGGAGGCTACATATTATTATCTTTGTTTGGTAAGCAATGGGGGAATACCCAGAGTTTCCAGGAGGAGAATGAAATGACCAAAGTCAGACTAATCTTTCAAAAACACAAACAGGCCAAATGCACAGGAAGACAGGTTATAAGGCTAATGCCATTGCACACATGAGAAAGTGAACACAGTAGGGCAGGAGCAGAGAAATGAAGGTGGGTGATGTGGAAAATATTCCAGAGTCTAAAAAAGAAGACAAGACTTGGCAGCTGATAAGACATGTAGCATGCGAGAGAATCAACAATGAGCTTTTTTTGAGTATAAATAACTAGGAGGATGGTGGTATCAGTGAAAGAGCAGAGACACTGGGAACAGAGACTGCCTGTCATTCTGGGTATATTAAGTTGTTACTATGACATGATGTAACTTATGGCAATTTCTTTGCTTTCCTTCAAACCATTTTGTTTTTAGTCAGAAACACAGAAAATAAGATATGGCATTTTTCCAGGAAAGTTTTAACCTAAAAATAGGGAACAAAGACAGGAAAGACAAGAGATTACTTAAAAACAATAAATGGTCTCCAATCTAATACAGATTGCTCATCTGGCAACAGTTTCAACAGTACGCAAATATAACATACTTGGAAACATCTGCTCTTTTAAGAAATAAACTACTGCTGTATGTTATTTTCTTCCTATAGATATTTACAGGAAAGCCTGTATTTTTAATGCAATGTAGTGTGGTGGCTGAAGAGATGGACCCTGGGGCCAGAGTTCAAACTCCTTGCTACCTTTGTGTCTCTTGGCACATTACTTAACCTGTGTTTTGGTTTAAAGTAGGAATAAAAAGAGCACATAGGGACTCAGATAGTTGTTTTGAAGACTGAATGAGTAACAAATAAGTTAATAAGTGGCACTTAGTGTTATGTCTGCATCATATAAACAAGAATCCTATATGTTATATTGACAAAAGAAATTTAGCTTTCGTTATTCTATTACCTAAAAACTAACATTGGTGGGCACCTGGCTAGCTCAGTTGGTAAAACACATGACTCTTGATCTCAGGGTTGTGGGTTCCAGTCCCCACACTGGGCCTACAGCTTACTTTAATAACTAATACTGGATCCAAAAAAAGAAACTAATGATCCATGAATTTATTTGGAAGTGCTTTTAAGTAGCAAGGAAGGAGCCATACTCTTATGTCTAATACTTATGAACTGAAAGCAAGTAATAAGCTTATATTTAAAGCTTATCAACTATTAATTTGGAACAACCTGACAGAAATATAAAAGTTCTAGCAATTTATTGCATGTCAGGGGCAGACTGAGAAACTCTGCAGCCAGATTTTAAGTCCTATATACAAATGGGGACAGGGTAGGGTGAGGCATACCTAAGTGGCCTTGATTACTCCAGCAAACAAGGGGCAACCTCTAGTTCACACTGCCCAAACAGTAGCTCAGTCATTGTGAAGAAAGCACAAGTCAGTATTTTATGGGAAACCAAACACACTAACCACTGCTTATATTTTTAATTTTTAAAAAAGATTTTATTTATTTATTTGAGAGAGAGCGAGAGAGAGTGTGCTAAGCAAAAGCAGGGGGAGTGGCAGGCAGAGGGAGGGAGAAGCAGACTCCCCACTGAGCAGGGAGCCTGCCAGTGGGGCTTGATCCCTGGATCTGGGATTACCACCCAGCTGAAATAACCACTGCTTATAAACGACGCTAAGCAGTCTTGAGATTCGCTTGGGGAGGAGTTAACATGCCACTTTATACCTTGGACAGTTAGCACCCACAGTAAGGTATCAAGAGAGATGTAGAAAAGTCCAAAATTCTGTCCGGCCCCCACCATAGCAGACATTCTCTAAATTGCTCTCATACTTTGTCTAATAAGTTTTCCTAAGAGGGTCTACCCCTGTAATTCATGGGGGAGGGGCTAGAGAGGCTATACAAATATCCTCAATTTAAAATACATTAAAAGTTAGATAACATTTACATGTATTTCTAAAGTAACTGTTCATGGTTTGCCCTAATGGAAAACATGAAATTAAACATTGCCTTCTAGCACCCCCTACTGGTGACAGGGTTGAAATACTGTAACAAGATGAATTTTTACATGACCATTTCCCTGCAGGGTTTAAATAGTCCAGTTTAGTGGTTACCACAATAAATCCTGTGGGAGGAGAGAAGGGAAGGAGGTTGGTGGGAGGGTGGCTACTTTACAGGACCAGTACGGCAACCAGTCAGATGTTTTAAGACTCTGTGACCCCACACTTCACCCACTGAATCAACTTTCTGTCGAGCGTTTAAAACAGGCCAGGGACGATGCTGGAGATAAGGATCTGTGGACAGCTGAGCTGAACCTTGCCCTCAAGAATCTTATGGTTAACAATTGCAATGCAAGAGACATGAACTGAATGTTAGGGGATCACAGATGGAGGAGCCTAAACTGGACTAGGAGATGTTAGAAGGCTTTCTCTAGGCAATGGTGATTAAGCATAGTTTTGGAAGAGGCTGTATTAACTGGATAAATATTGGAAGGGAAACTTTAGACAAAAGGAGTAATACAAAGACATAGAGCTAAGATCATCATAACATGTTTTGGGGAAAAACGATGCTCAGTGTAACTCAAGTGAAGCATCTGTGTTGAACAGTAGCAGAAAGACTAGAGAAAGGCCCTATCACAGAAGGCCTTATATACCAGGTTAAGGAGTTAGCTTTCTCCTTCCTAAAGCCAAATGGAGCCAACAACGATTTCAAACAACCAAGGCTCAAGGTTTGATATACATGTCAGAAACACTTTCTTATGGTTTTAAGCTACAAATACTTCTCAAGTCTCTGATTAAACCTCTAGTAGGCATTAAGTATAATGTCCTAAATAGGATAATTCAGTCAAGTAACTTGAAAACAAAACTAATCTAAGACACGACTTTGAAAGCAGAAAGGAAATGTTGCACAAGTTATGTGAAACTGCTCATACTTACCTTTTAAACTCGTCATGATAGAATTCCGACTTGCACGTGACCATCTCACTCCCCTGGATGTCCTCACGACTTCTGACTCCCCCAAACACGTACAGTTCCATGGCCACTCCACAGGCCACAGCTCCAAATCTGAAAGGCCACACGGAGCATATTAGCTGCTGGATTTATAACTCACAGCCTGATTCCCAAAATCCTCTTACGCTGGTTTTAACTCTGCAACATTCAGGGTTTCATGAATATGTGGGTCTGCCTTTTTAGGAGATGGACTATTCATTTACTTTTATAGAAACCAAAAACCAAGTCAAGTGAAAAGGTTATTTGAATGAAAGAGGGCACCTACAAAGTCCACATCAACATTCTTGTACCTTCTCTCCTTTAGCGGACAGATAGCAGTCCACTGCTGGGTCCTTGGGTCATAACATTCCACAGATTCGAAGAGCTTTCCATATGATCCTCCACCCATGGCATAGATTTTCTTTTTCATAGCTGCATAGCAGCCGATCTGGAAGAAGAAAGTAAGAAGCAGGGAGGCAACACTTAATTATTCATATTAGACAAATACTAACTCTAGTCTGGAGAGCACCGTAGAGTGTCTGGGAAAGGATTCGATTTCTAATAGTAAATCTATGGTGCTTTCCAATATTACAAACACAGGATTTTAAAAACAAGAAGAGGAGGTAATACATGTACTGTTCGTTAACTCCCATCTGACACAAGTGCATTCAGTGACATATGTAAATGTCCCTAATTTTTTTTTATGTCCCTAATTTTTTTTTTTATGTCCCTAATTTTTAAGGACTTCTCTAGTCTCTCCATTCTTCCACCACTATTTGCAGATTCCAATATTTAGATTCTTTTGAGCAACATGTCACTCAATTCCTGCATCAACTGAGTTGAGCAGAGAGAGCAGGAACACAGTAGCCGAAGTGTAAATCCCCACAGGACTGGACGAAGTTTCCTTGTGAAGAAGAGCCCCTCCCTCCCACACCAAAGAATGAGAGTAAGACAGATCACGCTCTAAACAGCTAACGGGAGCCATGTCTTCACTCTACTCCTGGTGCAATGGCCGTGTTTACCTGTAGACTGTTTTCTCCTCAGGCCTTCATGATGATTAAGAAAATAGGTTTGGAAGACCTGGCTGCTTCCCAAGTGAGGGTGTTCACAAAGCATTTGTCAAGCACAGGCGTGTGGCAGAGAACTTACCATCAGGATAAGCTCTCACACACACTCCATCTCCTATCATGGTGTACAGCTGATGATAATGAAGGCAAGCCACTGACAGAAGTCATGAGTTCTTTTAACACTATCGATCGTACTAAAAGGCTAATGTGGGAAAGGAAGAAACGCTAATTTCAAAGCCCAATTTGTAATTACAAGATATGGTTCTCACCTTTCTAACCATGGTCAAATCAGGTTGCTTTGTCCAGGTTTTGGAATAAATGTCATAACACTCCATGGAAATTAGCTCTTTTTCACCATCCTCTCCTCCTAAAATGTACAGCATGCCATCTATCTCCACAATTCCAAAATTATGTCGTGGCTGAAAACACATCAAAGATCTCTGTATACAAAAGGCCAACTCCCAGACTAAAAGCAGATATTCATGCATTTAATAACAATGACAGGTATTCCAGAGTTCCAGCAAAGAGGTGCCATGCTCGAAACCATCTCTCTCTGGTATCTGTGATTGCCCTAGCGGCTCACCCTTCTGCCATAAGAGACAGAACCCAACCCAGGTGTGATTTGGAACAAGAGAATCACCTACACGATAAATTCACTGGTGGAATTATAATTTTCTACTCACAACAGCTCAGAACAATAGAAACAACTATTACCTTCTGGTTCAATAAAACTATCTGCGTTTAGCAGTGGGCTGTAGTTCAGTGTTTCCAAGCTAGTGTGTGAAAGGAGGAACCACAGCTCAGGCACTGCCTGAGGCTGGGAGAGGCATGGGGAGGCGGGCCAGGCTCCTGCTACAGCCATCTAGAATGACGGAAGCCTGAGGGGTCATTTGTTAATGAATATTTGCTTAGAGTCCTTCCCCTTGGTGCCCAGAGCTATTTTCGTGCTGACAGCAGAGTCCTCAGCAGACAGAAAAAATCCCCCGCCATCAAGGAGTTTATGTGAACAATTAAAAAATACCCAGTATGTGAAAGGTGCCATGTGACCTTAAGAGAAAGAAAGTGGGCAGAGATGGGAGAGCACTGAGGGGTGGGAGGGAAAGCCTACCTGGGAAGTGCCCCATGCACACACACCAACAGAAGGAGGGAGGGAGCCACGATGGTGTCTGGCAAAGGTCCCAAAGCAAGAGTGTGTGTAGGTTTGAGGAACCATAGGAGGCCTGATGGAGCAAAGGCAGGCACAGAGAGGAGAGCCTAGGCAGTGGGTACAAGCATGGTGGGCAGGGGCCTGTGGCAGGGCCTACACTTCTCTCCTTACATGAACACAGACACAAAACAAAAGTGCAAAAGGAAAGACACACTACCAAACTAATGAAAAAGAACGTCTTACCTCATTCATTGGTGGCAATTCCGTCCATGTATTTGCATCCGGGTCATATTTTTCTCCTGAGCTCAGGGTCTGCTTATTTTCATCTTGGCCCCCAAATACGAACAAGAATCCCTCTGCAAAAATAGAACATGACACAGGAAAGATGAAACTTTCTTCAATTTCCATCTCCTGCTGGATATAAATGCCACAGCTGTAGGGACAGTTATGTGGAGGCAACTACTCTAATTATAAGAGTGGATTTGAGGTCTTCATCACAATTCATTTGATCCTTGGTGAGAGAGGCTAATTCACGTTTGTGAGTCACTCTGGCCATTTTACATCACTCCACATCTGAGTGGATTCCTACTACCCTACAGTGTACAACCTAGATTGGCACTACCCACACAGACACCAAGCAGCTCCATCTATTTCTATTCTCCCTGTGATTCTCAAACAACTTCTGATCCACAGCCCACATCTGTTCATTCAAGACCCAGGAGTGCTCAGATCCAGGGCACTTGTATGTGCTTCAAATTCAAAACAGGATCTAAGAGTCACTGTTGCACTACTTATTTTAGGTCATGGTGGATTAGGTAGGTTATTTGTACCAACTCTTGTGCAAAACAGCTAAACTGTAGGACAAAACATTTTGAAATAAAATAATCTTAAAAGAAAAGAAGCCAACAGGGCAATATGAAAAAGCTGAAAGGAAAAGAGTGAGCCGGAGAGGTTACCACCCATGGAAACCATTTCGCTCTAAGTACATTTGCCAATCTGGGAGATTTCCAACCTTTCTCATAATTTCCAACCTTCCCACTTTTTGAGGGCATGAGAGGGACAAAAATCAAAACCCCAGGCCCACAGGAAGTGTGACTTCTGGTAGCAGAGCCTCTCCAAAGTTCAACAGGAACCAGAACACCTAGATTTAAATCTCCTTCCTTGTTGAGGAGACCCTCAAGGTTTGAATTTGATTTACAGGAATTCAATTCCAAATTTTCAGTGTTTATAGGCAACTGGAAGAAACAAATATAAAACCTGTGTGGAAGAAAGTATTTTTATCTAATCTTTAGATTTTAATATTCTAAGATTTTAAAGTATCAAATTATTCATACAAATAATTTTTAATAAAATGATCAATACCCAGCCAAAGATATTAGGACACAGAAACTAGACTCTATGAAGAAGAACTGGCAACAGCAGACAATAGGAAGCAGTCTTGCATCGACTTCAAATTTCAAACACTGGACTAACCAAAGAGATGATAAAATAACAATGCTTACTATGTTTACTGAAAGAAAAATTTTTTCTAAAGATTTTATTTATTTGAGTGAGAGATTGAGAGAGAGAGACAGAGATACTGAGAGAGAGCACGAGTGGGGAGGAGGGGCAAAGGCAGAAGGAGAAGATTCATAACTGAGCAGGGAGCCCAATGTGGGGCTCAATCCCTGGACTGTGGGATCATGACCTGAGCTGAAGACAGATACTTAACTGAACTGAGCCACCCAGGTGCCCCCTGAAAGACAAATTTTTAGAGAACTCTTGGAAAAAGAAACTGCAGAAGTGCCACAGGAGATCTGAAAAAGATTTAAAGAGAATCTCTAGGAATAAGAAAAGAAAAAAACATAAAATTTAAAAAAATCAATAGATGGGTTTAATGGCAGATCTGTCACAAAGAGAATTCATTAAATGGAGGGTAAATCCATCCAAAAAAAGAAACCATCAAGAAGGCAAAACATGGAAAACAAAACAAAATGAAGGCAGGAGGAGAGAGGACAACAGAGCAGAGGCAATATCTGAAGATGTAAAAATGAGTAAGAATTTTCCAGATTTGAGGAAAGGCCAAGCCAGAGTCAAGATGCCCTACAATTCTGTATCTAGCACAGGTATCCTTTAAGAATGAAGGCAAAACAATGACATTGTTAAACAAAGAAATCAAAGTGTTTGCTACCAAAAGACCCAGAATAAAGGAAATTCAAAAACATAGACCTCAGAGAGAAGGAAAATAATAGATGGAAGGTCTGAGGAATAAGAAGGAAAAACAAAGAAACTGGTGAATGTGTGGGTAAATCTAAACACTCTATAGATATATACATATTCAAAACACAGATGAATAAAACATGTTCATATGCAGATACTTATTCATAAATAATCATACATTTTAATGCTGCAAGCCTGTGAAACATGAAAAAGAGTAGAAATGCACTTAGGCTTTTGTAACTTAAGAATATAGGCTATGGTATCTACTATGACTTTCAAAGGAATACAAAGGATATAACTTCTAACCTGTAAGAGAGAGAACAAAGTGAATAACCAAAAAAAAAAAGTCCATCAATTGAAAGAAAAGGCAGGAAAGCAAGAAACACAGTACAGGAAGGATAAGTAGGAACCACTAGGTCATGTCATAGTTTCAACTCACTACAATTGGACACAACCCCATCCTCACTGTTCAATGTTTCTTTTTTTTTTTTTTCTATTTCAATGTTTCTAAAGTACCAACTCCTGTAGGAAATCTTGGAAAATCTGTGACACAGGAACCACTGTGGTAGGTGTGTGCGTGTGGAAATTATGAATAAATGCACATATTATGGAAATAAAATGTAAGAAAGCTAATTCTGAGAAGAGAGAACAAGGAAATCAGACTCACATTCTGTTGGCTACACAACTGCATCCCGTTTATTACTGACAATAACTTCAACAATCTTGGAACCAATAAAATGATTCCATTTCTGTACTACAGTATAGCTTCAGCCATTTCTATAATATGGAATGGTATGGTATAGCTTTCAAAATCTTTAAAATAACATTAGTGGGCAAGCGTAGACTATACAATATAAAGGATTCCAGGAAGACTACTGATAATAGAAGACTACTACTAATAATTAGAGTTTAGTGAAATAGCACTTGTGGGTGAACCCAAAACAAGACAGCAAGGTGAAGAGAAAGGCAGCAGTCAGAAGGCAGCAAGTACAACCTTTTCTATCACCTTCTTAAGTAGGAGCTTTGGCTGATGTGGAGCTGTTTCCTACTTGTGAAGGTCAAGTGAAACAACTTTCTGTAGTAAAATAACCTGAAGAAATTGCTAATGTAAGTAGTATTTTCTAAAGTCTCACATGAAATGTCTGCTTTTACATAACACTTCTATTTCTCATACAGTTACTTTAAATTGCATGAATTTCAAAAACGGGATTATCAAGGCTCAAAGGAATTCTGTGTTCTAGGTGTGGCCATACAGCTAACAGGTCGTAAGAGTCACTGAATACTGTTCTATCAGTTAAGTCATCAAGTAAAATGCTCCTCTACTAAAGTCTTAAAAATAGCTACATATTAAAGATTCAGGAACAATAAAGACCGGCAGAAGACATTCTTCTCCTCACAAAGTCCTGAAAGCTAGAGCCACACAGAAGATGTCATCATAGAGATAATATTATTTCTTAAAATTAAAATCAAATCTCTAAAAAGGTTTCGAGTCATTCTGTACAACCCTAAAATTACATATTACTCGATCGTGTGTTTAAGTAAAATTGACCACAGAATGGTACCTGCTGAGAGAACTCCGTGGTTAATTCTTGGCATGCTTAAAGGGGCCAGTTCAATCCAAAGCTGCCTATTAGGGTCATAAAGAGGGCACATACATCGCATCGCTGCTGTTGGTTTCCGTGAACTAAGGAAATAAATAATTGATTAGCAGTTAATGTGTTTTATATAGTTTTGCTCATAATAACTATGACTAGTTTTACTGCTCTAAAAATCTTTAAAACATTTTTTTAAAAAATCTATTGCTATTATGCTTAGATACCAAAAAATACCACGAATTCCTGTTTACACGGAAATAGCTCTTCCCTTTTATGACTTTTGAAACGATTCACATCCATACTTACACTCTTTCTTCTCCACCAACAGTCACAATGCACTCAGAGTAGCCCCGGGGCTTGAAGTTTGCCAGCATGGCCTCCCCTTGCTGTGGCTGGCTCAGTGGTATGTTGTTGCACTCTCTGACAATTTCTCGTACTAATGGTTCATTGAGCATCTGTTCCCGTAAGTAGCTGGAATCTAACCCTGAAACCCACAGTGCTGACATCACGTCCTTCATGTGGACCTGCACAAGAGGGTTGGAAGGATGGGAGAAAAAAAATGTAGGACATAGCACACAGTTCTTAGAACACACATTTTCTGACTCATGGAAAGCTAAAATTGTTAACAGATTATCAGCGGGCAAGTCACAAATGCCAGTACTGCTTGAATATGCCTTACTGGCCCTTTCTACTTCCCCATAGCCTCGATAAATACAAATTTAACTTAAAAAATAATCAGATTTATATTTGATGTATCATGGAAAAGCTTCAAGCAGCTTTCTTTACACCCTAAAGGGTCACCTTAGCAATAGGAAACCTTGGAACTCGGCTGCAGTGGCCTTATTTCACATAGCTGGATGTGCTGGGCGTTAAATCACATTCATGGGGACATTATATGTAGTAATAGCTATGTAGAACAGATAATCAAAATGGATCAACATTAACATTACAAGAAAAATACAGAAAAGCCAAAGTTCAGAAGAATCCTGAGTACTATGTATTTCTTCAAATATTATTGTTAAAAAATATCTAACACATATAATATGAATTATGTACCTTTCATGATCAGTCATTAAATTTGAAATAATGGAATACAGCATACTACATACATGAGGTCAAAGTCCTTAGGGACTAGCTTTTCTTGGTTTTGGAATGGTTATTTTAAGGTATACTATTCCATATCCTGAGTGGCAAAAGCTAAGAGGTCTTAAGGCATGAAGTTCAGATTAATCAAAGGGCCTCTTGTTTCCCTGGCAACCTCATCCCTAGAAGAAAGGAAGAGACAGCTAGTGACAGTGGTCTCTATGAGCAGCAGTGAATCCAGAACTCTCTTACCCTCTTTCCTTATCTACCCAATGAACGTAGAAAACCAAGTGCTAACTATGCCAAGACTACTATCATATGGGAGTGTGTATTTCTATATCATTACAGATCTAAGTTTCCATCTCTATTACAGTAGTTCATAGTTCCTAAATAGGCTGATAGAATTTTAAAAGTTACAAGATATTCACTAAAACCTACATCAACAGCTGCTGAGAATGATTAACAATGCAATTATACATTTTAAAACTACTCTAAAACCTTCTTATTTTGAATATAGTAGTTGAAGCTGGTGTCTATAAATACCAGACTTAAAGGTCTGTGATTTTGCCCCCTCCCACACTGTAGTAACAGTTTGGCTCTAAAGCCTGATAATTCTGAGACCCTTCCTTCCCAGTTGTTGCTCCCACAACCTTCCCATCTGGAATTGCATTGCCACATTACAGAGTGATCTCCTGCTTTGTGCTGAGTGGTATCAATCACTCCCGGGAGAGTCCATACCACAGAGGTTCCTGAGGTCCGCTATCCTCACTCCTCTGCCAGAGCAGTGTGTGCCCCCTCTCACTCTGCTGCCTATATCATAGTTCCTGCATGGGTCACCAGTAATGATACAGGGATGGATGCTGAACAAGACAGTGGGGACACTGAATTTCTATAATCCCCACCTCAAGCTTGAAATTAATTTTCCCACTAAAGGCAATGCACAAACAATATTATGTTCCTTACAAGTATTAATATTTTTATTGCTATGAGTTACATGAGCTTTTATAGTCTGGTCTGAAAAAAAACAACCACTTCAATGATACTATGCAAAGATGTACTACAGACATCTTTTATTTTCTTAAGAGATTTTATTATTTGACAGAGAGAGAGAAAAAGAGACATCACGTAGGGGGAGGGGCAGAGAGAGGAGAGAGAGAGAATCCTAAGTCTGGAGGGTGGGGCCTGATGCAGGGCTTGATCTCATGACCCTGAGATCATGACCTGGGCCAAAATCAAGAGTTGGAGGCCAATCGACTGAGCCAGCCGGGTGCCCCCAGACATCTTTTAGATCACAACTTTGTAAGTCTTTCAAGTTGAAGGGGAGAGACAGAACATCTATACTTTGGACTAAATAAATGAAGGAATGAATGGAATAAGTAAGTAAAAAGGCAAAGTCAGACCATGTTATAAACCACAGGTACCTTTCTTAGTTCTGTATCATGTGCTATCCATCGAATTACTGCTTCAAACACATATCTTTCGTTGCCAACATTTAACTTCTCGAGAGAAATCACTTCTTTAAGCTTCTGAGGACTGAGTTCTAAGAATTCTTCTGTGCTGCTGACATCTCGGAAATGAGTCTCCAGGTATTCTGTGGCAAGGTAATGGACATGGTGCAGGCAGTAGTGGAGTGCAAAGTCGCGGATGCCAATGCAGTTCTCAGCGGCGATGCAGCCTTCCAAAAACTCACAGCACAGAGTTTTAAGATCCGTCAGCAGGAGCAAGTCTGCTGCCTGTACAACATCTTGGATTGTATCTTCATTCAGCCGGATCTGCAGGAGTATCACAAATACTTTACATTTCAATATATGTATTAAAGCCCAAACTGCTAACCTATTAGGTGGAACTACATGAAAGTTCCACTTTTGTAGGTCAAAGATGATCAAATATTGGCAATTTCACACAGTCCAACCTAGGTCATCTTTTTCAAAAGGAGTTTGAGGGCACCGGCGAATCTTCAAACGATGTGAACAGAATATGGCCGGTTGAGTTTTCCCAGCACTTTCCTTGCTTTACCAACATTAACTATCATGAACCGTTCCTGGGTGCACTGTCCATATTGCTTACTTCTAGGCCTAAGTGGCTGAGATGCTTAGGAGGTGGAAAGTTCTCCTTTCTGTGGTAAACTGAAGGGAGTTTTTTAAATACTAGCACTGTAACTGTGGCAAATCTTGCCTCTAGATATATACTACGTTCCATCTTTTGCCAGATGGCCTGCCAGAAACACCACATCAGCCCCTTGGAGAAGGGAGGGCCATGCTGCCCAAGGACCTCATTCCAAATGCCAAACTGCATTCAGTGCAACACGTACACTCTGGTCTCATATCTACTTTCTGGAAGGAACTCCTAAGGTAAGATTTCTTGTTTATCGTTATGAACTTCACTTTTCTTTAATCTTCTGATGCTTCTTCATCCACCCACTTCAGTTTTTGCATGCAACCTAAGGCAATTTAAAGAAACAAGCCTCTAAAATATTACCACAATCACAACGGTCAGACTCTTCTTTCCCAAAGAATGGGCAGTTGTCCTACACTTGAAAATGTGAAGGAGAGGTTCCAGGGTACAGTACAGCAAGATACATTGTGTACCGCAGATATAGAAAAAAAATGTATGACTGCCAATCACCTTATAAACTGAGCAACAAAACTGTGGAAAGAAGTGTGTCGAGTAAGTCACAAGTAAGAAAAAATTTCCTGTTTACTTGACATATTAAATTCAGCCACAGGGATCCCTGGGTGGCGCAGCGGTTTGGTGCCTGCCTTTGGCCCAGGGCACGATCCTGGAGACCCGGGATCGAATCCCACATCGGGCTCCCGGTGCATGGAGCCTGCTTCTCCCTCTGCCTGTGTCTCTGCCTCTCTTTCTCTCTGTGTGACTATCATAAATGAATAAAAAATAAATAAATTTATAAAAAAAAAAATAAAATAAAAAAAAAAAATAAATTCAGCCACAAAACAGTGATAGCCGTACACCAGTCAGGTACAGGCATGTGAGAAAATCACTACATTCCATCCTGATAAAACTAAACTGCCAGATAAGGAGTTTGTTATAACTTATGTTGCAACTATGGTTTTAAACCATAATTAATTTTTTTTGTTTATTTTTCTTTTATTAAACCATAATTAATTTAAATTGGGAACAAAACACAGAAGTCAACCTGTAAATAAGTTTCAAGATTCAAATCCAAGCCTGAACAGGAATATGCAATTACTGGCTTACAACTTGTTATAGCTGCTGCTGAACTGATTTTAAAAGTTAGATACAAGGATTGGTCCCCCGTCTAGTTTCCTAATGCTTCTGAGTATCTTCAGTATTTTAAGGACTGTCCCAAAATTAATCTAAATGCATTCATTTTTAACAATCATACATATAACCTTACATGCATCCCCCACCACCTAGTGTTCAGAGAAAAGGAAGGAATAGTGTCATGAAATTAACCCAAAAACTTCAAAAAGAATGACAATCACCAAAGTTGACTGAATGAATGTATCCAGAGAAGGCAAGCAGTACATTTAGGATACTTAGAAAACACGTAGGATGAGGCTCTCACAAATGAGAAAGGTAAAGTAAGATGAGGAAGGAATAAGGGAGAGAACAGGAAAGAAGCTCTCAAAAAGAGTAAAGATAAAATGCATTCTCACATCACCACATGTAAGATATAATAACCTCTTCCTGTTAAAAAGCTAGTTCTGGTTCAACCTAAGATTATTCTTAAGAGCCCTCATGTTATACTTTAAATCATAAAATCAGGGGTTGGGGGCTTGAGGATGGCAAAGAAAAAGAAAGTCTCATTATTTATCACCTTCTTCCCTGGGTTTCATTAAATCCCCAGCAAAATAAGTGGGCACAGAGAGTAAAGGGACATCAGCAAGAATGGGATGCAACAGGGATATTGGTCCTACTGAAGCAACAGTACCCAGGCATCACAAATACAGTGCAGGTGCCTGTCATATGCGCGAATCTCAAACTCTTTTTTTTTTTTTTCTATAAAACAATTCCCTCTGCCCAAGGAAGCTCCCCTTTCCAAGCTATGGGGTACAGAACAAGATGGGAATTAAGGTTTAGAGACAGCTATGAATGGAGATCCCAGTTCCTTTCTATCTCATGATGGAAGGTGGAGCTTGGAATGATAAATACAAAAACTGGGACTGGGTTAAGATTTTACTCAGTCAGCTTTTCTTTTAAGAGCAGAGCCCTGGAAGAACAGTTGGGTACCATTCCCAGCAGGAGATATACATCACGCAGACAATGACAGATGAAGAGGACGGTGTTGCTGGATCATAGAATGGATGAAGGAGACCCTCACCCTGAGCTTGAGAGGCCTCTACTTCGTCTTCCTCCCTGTGTGTCTCATCATACCTGCCCACTGAAGATGTAATCCAGGATCTCTCTCATAACCATTACCGATATCCCTTCAAGTTCAATCTTATAGGTTGATCCATCATCTTTTGGAGGATTATAGTTTAATTTTGTCCTAAGAAAGGGAAAAAAATGTAAAATTTCTATGAAAGAACAGAAATAGCTATAAATATTTATGCACTAAAACTCAGCACAAGGTAGATATTTTTCAGCATATGAACCCGGCCTAGGAAATGTAGTTAGTTAATATATATATATAATATATATATATATATATATATTATATATTATATATTATATATATTTTATAACTTCTGACTACAAAACACTTGTTCCAGGATTCAGAATACTACTTCTTAAAAAACAAAACAGACAACCATAGAACTAAGAGCCACCTAAGCAAGGATCTCTACTTCACCTTGGGAGTCTAGCTCTGTTAGGCTTATTTTTTTAAAGTATTTCATTATCTATTTCCAGTAATGTAACAAGGACCCCACGAACCTCCCACCCAAAACAAAAGCTAGGAAGTTGACAAAGAACCTGCTTCTACCCAAACATACCCTCTCACTATTCATCTCTGCTTTTCCCCATCTGAAGTAATTATCATCCTAAATCCTATTTGATTTTCCTTTGCTTCTTGATATTACTGTACCCACGAAACCACTCTCCTTGTGGTTGTGTGCACTGCCCTGTCATACAAGTGTCAAACATCTCTTCATGTCTATGGTCACATGTGTTTCCTCTTCTGTGAAACACATGCTAAGTTCAAATCTGTTTTTCATTTTTTAAAATTGAGTTATCTTCATATGGAGGTATATGAGTTCTTTATCATATTCTTGGTATTAAATCTTTGGCAGACTTGGCACATTTGTTTAAGGCAATGAGTAATTTGAAGAATGATTTTCATGGTGAATGTTTTTTGTGTCTTGTTTAAGAATTGGTCTTACCCAAGATCTGAAAGATATTTGTAACTTAGCACTGACTAAAGCTAATACACAATCTAAATTGCACTTAAGAACCCCCCCACCCCCGACGCCCTCAAGGTTGAGAATTGGTCAAATCAGGCAGCTGTGGAAGGAGGGTGAGAGATGAGCCAAAAAGACACAGGTTGACCAGTGGTAGTAAGGAGCTGAATTCCCAGGTCCTGCCTCCACATACATATGTGACTCCTTGTAAGGCCCTCCCCACCTAGCTCTAGTGCAAGATAACGGATTGACATCCTGAAGAGTCAAAAACAGAGGGTAGGTCACAGGAGGATAATCAGGCACATTCGAGGATGGGTGTATGGTACCAAAAACAGAGCAAATATAGTGTTTACACACTGGATGCTGAGACCATCAATTTTTCCCCCTCAGTTCTGCTCTTCTTACATGTTGAAAGCCAGACCTATATTCTCCAGGCAAGAAACTGGAAGACTCTTTGGAGGATGTAATCAGCCCTAAAGGGAAAGATCTAAAGCTATGGATGTAGGGCTGCTCCAAGAGCACAGGACTTCAAACTTCTAAAGGAAAATTCTTTCCAACCTAGATTTTTTTTAAAACATTTTATTTATTTATTTATGAGAGACACACAGTAGGGGCAGAGACACAGGCAGAGGGAAGAGAAACAGGCTCCATGCAGGGAGCCCGATGCAGGACCCGATCCTGGGTCTCCAGGATCATGCCCTGAACCAAAGGCAGACACTCAACCACTGAGCCACCCAGGTGTCCCTCCAACCTACATTTTTATAACCAGCCAAACTACCAATCAAATGTTAGGACCCAACAGATATTTTCAGCCATACATGGTCTCAAAACAAACAATCTCCCATGCAACCTTTCTCAATGTGCTGCTACAAAATGTGCCCCCCCCCAAAACAAAGGCGTACATCAAGAAAGAGGAAGATTTCAGGAATGAAAAGACACGTTCCAACATAGGAAAGAAGTGAAGTCAATGCAGGGAAGGGTGCAGAATGGACCTAGGACAGCAGCTATCTACAAGCAGAAGAAAGCCAGTCCATCCTGCTGCCAGTAAGAGGCCTTGGGAGACTCCAAAGGTGAAATTGATGGGATAATGTATCTGGAGGTAGGAAGAAGATACTTAGACAACCTTGTTTCTTTCCTTATTTCATGTCTGCTATTCCTGCCTCTACAGTTCCTATTGAACTAAATAGTTTTACTCGAAAGATACTTCATTTCTGCTTGCTGCACTCCAGGGTTTATCTATATGCTTGACACTTTTAATAAGTGAAGAAAAAACATTTTTATTAATTCCCGACCAAGAGAGAAAAATCATGTAAGTGCTAAGACTAAGACCAAGTCTGAAATGCACTGTGGTCTTTCTGGCAGCACACATGGTATTTTTCACTTAGGATGTTATAAGTATTTGTATTTCTCAATCACTGATTCTTCCTTTTTGCATGCTCTGTGAAAATGGATCTGAGCCTTTTAAATAATTTTCTTTTGTCAACTGGTATGATGTTAAGCTTTTCAGTAGGGAGTGCTGGAAAGACAGTGCTTTTTGGTTCTGGTCTAGCAGCTTGGAAGGCTCCTATAAGGCAGCCAATCTTTTCAGCATGGAGCTCCTACAGTGCTCAGCCACCAGCAGCCCGCTGCAGTCTCCCCTGGAATTCCCTCAGGCAGTTTTGACACTTCTTATGAACAGTTTTCCCAGGCACCCGAGGGGACAGACTTCTGGCAAGTTCCAGCTGTGCCATTTCCCTGCCATGCAGGGAGTGTGGCTGTGCCCTGTCCAAAACATCTGGAGCTCAGCCCACGGTGGTGGCTGCTTCTATGGGCTATTCCTGTATTTTTAAGTTTTCCTTTCTTCTTACTAGCTGATCTCTCATTACTCCAAATCTCTTGTTGTAGTTTATAATTCTTTATATTAAGCTTTCTTTGCTGAAGTTACTGTGTGGACCTTTTTCTCCAGACAAGACCCAGACTGAGAAAGTTGCTAACTATTTTAAGGCTGTAACTCCAGAACATATTCAGGTGGAAGAGCCTCAACCTAGAACTGGAGCTGTTCTTGTTTTAAAGTAATCCATGTTCACACAAGAGCTGGCTGTGCCTGCCTGTGCCTGTTGTGGATGGTAGGAGGAGGAGCCTTCTAGACTAGGGGCGGAGCTACAAGTAGACCTTTCCTTGCTGTCTGTCCGTCCCTTTTCAGTTTTCAACCATGTGACTGGCTCACTGCCATTTTTTTGGAAGTTGACTATACTGTCATATGTTTTTATAATTAAGAGTAAAGTTTTCTCTCTCAGTGAGAGATGGCTAAGAGGACAGAAAAAAGATGCCTGTATATTAAGTATGGACCGTTTCAGACTTCTCTAAAACCAGACCTTTTTCAAAGCCCATGAAAAATCAATCACTGTATCATCAAGTCTCTAAACATCTGAAGCCTAAATTATAAAACTTAAAAGTACGGTTTAAATTCAGATCCCTACACCTGCCCCCAAACTTTTCCCTCTTCCTATCCTGCTTCTGATCTTTCCTGGTACCATCTGTGTACACTCCATTCCTACCCATCTTGTAAAGAATGGCTTACATGCCAGTTCCACACAAAGTTATTCTTTATCGCTCCACCCTGCCACAGGCTGCACCTCTACCCTTACCTCCATGTAGGTAAAAATAATTTCTCTGCTACAGATTTCCCAAACACTTTATATTATGGGTTTGTCAAATTCTGTTTTTATTGTGGCATTTAAGTATATATCCCATTTCCTAACTCCCTTATTTAACTGTTAAGTTCCTTGAGGCCAGAGTCCTCTTTATCATGGTAACCCTATAGTGTAGCCCAGTGGCTCACAGAGAATAGACATTCAACACTTATTTGTAAAATAAGTGTTTGAATCGATAGTGGTCTTTAAATATCTCAAGCACTGTCACATGGTTTCTTTCCTGCATGACCTCAGGTATAGTGAAACAGAACCAGAAGCAGTAGGAGGAAGAACTTTTATAGTCTCACATGTCCAATGCTGAAAGGACGAAAGCATGGGCTTTCTCAAACTCTAATGTTCATAGGGATCATCTAGGGGTCTTGACTCAGTCTCAGTGTGGCCTGTGTTTCTGCATGTGTAACAAAGTCTCAGGCAGTACAGATGCTGCTGGTCTCCAGACCCCTCGGAGTAGCAAGGGGTTAATTGATGCTTCCCAAATCACCTATGATATGTTTGGTACTTGTAATCCACCCCCCACGAGTATTTTTTAAAATGTAGTAAAAATATAATGGGGATATAATGTACCAGATGGTGACTACAGTTAATAATATTGTACTGTGTATTTAAAAGCTGTGAAGAGAGTACATCTTACAAATTCTCATCACAACAGAAGAAGTTTTATAACTATGTCAGATGACAGGTTAACTAGACTAACTGTGGTGATCATTTTATAATGTAAACTAATACAGAATCATTATGTTGTATACCTGAAGCTAATACAATGTTATGTCAATTATACCTCAATTAAAAAATAGATTATTAGAAAAATGAAATAAAAAAGACACATGAAATGCAGGCCCTGATTGTCTTATCATCTCATTCAGTAAGCATAAAATTACTTTGTCAAATTGCTACAAGTGTCTAAACTCTTAACTGCCACACATACACTTATATTGTGGCAGATTGCTATCCAACCATGAGCAGTGTGCAGGTGATGTCTCAGTAGGCTGGATGACCAGACCACCCATCTGTCAAGAATACAGTGAAAGCTGATTGAGTCCCTTCCAATCCTAGTTGGTAAGAGTCACATCACTCAAATTTATTTTGAAACAGTCTTGCTTTAGAGCCTACCATCATTCTGTTACCTCCCATTTCTCTTATTCTCCCATTTCTTGGAGACCTGCCATCCTTTCCCAACTCAGTAACCTCCACTGTATCTTATTCTCCCTCCTTTTGTCTTCACTTTTTTTTCTGATTCCCCAGCTAAGTCTCTTGGTCCTTTTAGCTTTTGTTGCATTCTGTCTTTCATTTTTTTCCTTCAGGAAATAACTTAATTTGCCCAAGATCCACCAATGAACTGTTCTCACTCTCGAGCCCTACATATTTTCTCCATAGCTTTCCCCTTTATATCTGGAATTTTCTCATCTTGCACATCTTTTTTCCTTCCTTTGCTAGAGAATTCAGTGAGCTGGACTGAA